GTCTACTGTCGATCCACTAATAGAATGTCTAGAGGGTTCTCTAATAATGGATGGTTGTGTTATTCGTATTGAACTAGACCTATTCATTCTTAATCTAAATCTTTCTGGTTCTTCTATTATATCTCTAATTTCTGTATGTTCTTGTTTTTTAAAAGAGGGTTCATCTAAAACCCATTCTTCTGGTATGGTTAGCTGGTCGTGTCTAAGTCTTTTAGGAACTTGTACCAAGCTTCTATTTAAATTAGCTTGGATTATAACAGTTTCATTTTTATTTATCTGTCTATTTGCCCTATAATCATAATTTATTTTTGTTACCTTGTAGCAGACTCTATAAATCACATGGAATGGATCAAAAGAGTCATCCACTATATCTTTTGGTATTTTTGTAAATATTTTAATAGCTTTGGATGTCTTGTTATTATCTAGAGACATAGCAAAGTTCGGATAACAATTAAAAAAGGCAGGCCCATCGTAGAGGTTGCTTTCCAGGGCCGCAATTATTGAATCTCTGGTCCTAATTAATTTCATGTCTCTTAATAATACAAGTATAGGGAGGTCAACACCCAACTTATAGTTTGGTTTTACAGCTAATTGTATTAACCCTATATGAATAAACTTAAAACCTTTATTTTTATGTTTTTGTAATAAATCATCTTTTAATAATTGTATTTCTGAATTTCCTATTGTTCCAGGGTAGGAATATTCTATTTTATGTATTTGCTCTCTATTGTTATTTAGAGACCAAAATGATCTCTGTTGATAAACTTCTTTATCTTTTATGACTGGTATAGACCAATCTTGTAGAGATTGTTCTATGTCATCTATAGTTATTTGTTGTGGGGTAGATGAGGGGGCTGACAAAGAAGATGAACTCTCATCCTCCGTTCTCCTTACTCTTGGTATTATTTCTCTGTTTCTACCTAGAGTTAAGTTACTCATTGTTCTCAATAAGTTTGCCATTTTTAGTCCTATAGGTTACGGGAACACCCAGGCTTACCAACGGTTTCACTGCCTACACTTAGGACTTACTACCAGGAACACCTTCCAGGCTTACCAACGTATAAACAACTCTCGCTGCTACCCATTTAGATTCTAAACGACCACCTTATGATTGAACGAATAACTTTATTCGAGATATGGCATAGAAATAATAACAATGATAATGAAAACATGACAAAAGTTTCAAGCTCTTGAAAGCACTTTCAAATCTTTTTTATTTTCTATAATATCTATTAAAAGCATTTTTCTTTCAGTCCTATCTTGAGTTTTTTGTAAAAGTTTTCTAAACTCTCTTAATATATATATATAATTTTTTTTCTTTATATTTATTTTAGTTCTTTAAAATGATTTTTTTCATTTTAAATTTTTTAATACCTAACAATATTTCAATAGACCAAATGAGCAATAAGAACTAAAAATAAAAAATTATAAAAAATAAATATAAAAACAATAAGAACTTATTTTAAGGGACTTAAAAAAGATTATTAAAATGTGAGTACTAAAACATATTTAAGTCTATTTTGTTACATTCTGTCGATAAAAAGGTTAAAAGTATTGAATTTAAAAAAATAAAAATTAAATTAATTATTTTAAAGACTAAAATAAAACAATAATAGTATTAAACAAGCCAGTTATATATATATATTGAGTAATGCTATGAGAAATAGAGAAATAAAATAAAATAAGTGTAAAAATGGAAATATAAAAGGAGTATCATGTTAATTTTGTGTTTTGTCTTACATCTTCACATCATATACCCCATATAAGGATATTTTTAATATATATATATAAGTTAACATGTGCGTCTATCATTTTCGAAAATGAAAAGGAACAGAAAAAGGGAAAAAATTGAGAAAACTTGGAGATTAATTAGTTGTAGATCACTTGTTCGCTGAGTGATGATTGATGAAGAACAGCAAAGACCACATAGTGGGAGGCACAGTTTCATACCTTGCGATTTTGTTGCTATCCATACCAAACTGTAATCAGACAAATACTTTAATTAATTTTAATTGTGTTTCCAGTAATCTTGTCTGTCCATTAGCATCTAGAATATGTTCAAACATAAATTGAACCCCAATTACATGGAGATTTAGAAAATAATACTTTGAAATTTCGTTGCATCAACACGGGGAGCCCATAGTAAGTGGTCGAATTTTCACACCTTAGTTTCATCTTCAAAGTTGACATGTAATTAAGTCTTTGGCATAAAGGCAGTGGGAAAAGAGACTGATGAATAATCGAAATCAATATCAATATTATGTTATTTTAATTTTCATATTCCTGGAAGTATGGCACAATAGGATCGCCGACCATTGTGTACGAGCCAGCTGAGTCAAGGGTCTCATCAAAGTCCATTATTGGCGGTGATGTTTGAATATGAACAATCCTTCTTCTTCTCAACACGTAGGGATGCTATCAATAAAACAACCCACGCCAATAATTCCGATGCCGTCCAAAGTTTTGCTCTGTTTTGGGCTGGTCGGTTTGGTGTATTTCTGTTCATTTTCTTTGTCGATCGTTAGTAGGTACTTTTAGTTTGCTCTTTTTTGGAGGGCCTAACGAGTAAGTTCAAGTGACGAATTTTGGAAATTAATGTGTGAAAGGAACAAATCAAGATAATATTGTGTCTATCGATTAAAAGACTTTGTGTTTATTATATAGCTTCACTTGTCTTCAAAGAAAAGGACGTCTTTTAGTAAAATTGCCCCTGTTGTTCGGAGAGTATATATGAGATCCGGATGCTTAATGTTCATTCAAATCATGATAGGATGACAGGGAGATTATGATTAATAGTTTAGGTTTGTAAGAATTAAATTACTTACTTGGGAAATGATCATATATTTAACATTACTTGTACAAAACCCGTCTCAATTTTTCTAATATATTTTAATTCTTACATTTTAATGAATTTTTAGTTTTAGTCACTTTAAATGATTTTGTTTTATTTCAGTTTTTTAAAATTATTTTTTGTCTTTTTAACAACTTAATAAAAAATTAACACTTGACCGTGACAGAATTTTAATGGATCAAATCAGTAATAAAATCTAAAAATAAAAATTTATGAAAAAGTAAAGATTAAAATAAAAAATTGTTTGAAGTGAAAAAATTCATTTCAATATGAAAATAAAACATTTTAAAGTTTGTTTAAATAATCATATATCAATATATTAAAGCGTAATAAAGTGATAAAATGATAATGCTAAAATATTACTAATTTTAATATGTTGTTTAGTGGTTAAACAAATTGTGTATCACAACACATCTTTTATTTTTTATTTTTATTGATAAACAGGGTATCTTTTTAAATATTGCTAAGAGTGTACGTTAGCTACTCAACTTAAGTTTAAACGGGAAAATTAAACTGGAATTTAACCATCATTCAATAATTGTAATCGTGACAACTGTTTTGGTATAGTACTTGTCATTATAACCACGTGTATTATGCTTTCATGACCATTAATTAAAGATGTTAAAAATAAACTACTATCCCTTTCACGATAAACAATACAGCAGAGGACATTATATTTTTTAATACTGAGAAATTAAAGTATTAGCTAAGTTTGGAGCTTAAAATAATGCAGCTGTGTTCATCTGGTCAAAGCTTCCTTACGAGATCTCTCGGCTGCTGGTATCAAATTCATGGTGAGGGTTTCTCACGTTAATAATATTTATGGCCTTTCCTCTTTTGTTTTTTCTTTAGTGTGCAGCCAACAGGAAAATAATTAATGATAAACGATTATTGCATATAATCTTCTATTATATCTAATTTTTGTGCAGAAATTTGATGTGTCTATAATATAACAAATGATATGAGAGTTTATGTAAGAATCAATGTCCGTCAAGAAGAAATAAATTTTGCATTCTTGCCTGTTGATGTCTCCTATCATTTTTTCTTGCACATCTTGAATGAGTCATGACACTTCTAATCCCAATATGTAATTAATTTTTTAAAATAAATCATGAAGCATTCTTGCGCAATTTGAGGATGGAAGTGATCCCGTTTGGACAATGACTTGGCGATATACATAACTCATATATATTATTAATTTATATTAATGATAAAGATAGCCAGCTTTATGTCCAATCGGCAATAGGAAATGATATGTTCCTATAATAATTCATACTTATATATATATATAATTAGGTGTAACATATTGTTTATATTTAGAGTAATTTATGTTAAGAGCAAAAAAAAAAAAAAAAAAAAAGCCCTTTTAATTAAAAACAAAAAGCTTTTAAAGAAGAGTGATCATTCTCTCGTAATTAAGCATTTTGAAACATGCTAATATTTGTTAACTCTCTTAACTGTTATTTTTATTTTTTAAAATTTTTATATTTAAGTATTTTAATCATCTATCTATATCCTTTTCATAAATTTAAATATATTTTCAATTAAATTTATAATTTATAAATTTCACCTAAATTAATTATACATATATTTTTTATAATTTTAAATACCCTCTTTTCTTGAATATCTTTGAGTTATACTTTTGAATATTATCTGAATTTGAAAATACCTGTGCACAACAATATAATATAAACTTTATTCTACATGGAAGAGATAGTTTGTGTGGTGTGAGTATTTAAATGATTACAAGATTACCAAGCAGATCTCCAATTTTGGTAGTGGTTGCCCACATTAAATTGCAACAATATGATAATCTCGTGTGGACCCATGATCGAATGACAATCACCAAAATTAATCAACTTCTTCTATATATCAATAGATTAATTATTAAAATATACTGTAGCACTTTGAATACTCGTTTAAGATTTTGCAGATACTATTCATTTAATTATTTATCTTAAAAATATTAAAAACATAAAATTCAAGTTAAACACATCATTTTAAATAGACCATATCACTCAACTTGCGTTAATCCGAGTCCAAAATAATTCGAAATGCCGAGAATCTCGCCCCCCAAAAAATTAATAGTAGTTGAAGATATGCAGCCACGAGTATCCATAATATTTGAAACGAAGAACACAGTCATTTAGTCACAACAGTAATCATAAGAATTTTATACAGAATTGATCGATCACAACCCGACAAGGAAAACAATATAAAAAATAAAATGAAGTCTACGTCGTCTTCCTAACAGTACCCTGTTCACAAAGTGAAAGAGAGAGGAAAGAGGTCTCTTTGAATAGTCAAATCCTCTCAAAAACCCCTCTCGGAAAAAAGAAAAGAGAGACAAATGCAGAGATTTGAAAATGCCATTGTGGGGTATGTAACGCAGCTGGTGAGTCAACTACGCAAAAAAGGAAGAAAAACACTATGGCATTATCTTGTACTCTACAGCAGAACAGGCCCAAGTAAACTGAGGTACATTGTAGGAGACACTTGCAATCGCAGGCCATGGATATGTTACTCCAAAATCCAAATGATGGACAAAAAGGAGAAAAGAAAGCACTGCGATAAAAAGTCATTATTAAGCTTATTCCTATACTCATGCATGCACATAAACAAATGTAGATCAGTAGATGCCTTGAACTGGTTATTCACGATCAAATCAACTTCCTCAAAGACTCTCTTAAATTTCTTATTAGATCCTTTGCTGTCAAGCAATATTCCTTGTTCATCTGCAAGAAAAACACAAACCATATCGTTAATATGCGAAAATTCAAACACTCCCAATATGCTACTTTGCTAGGAAAGTGTGTTCTAATCGGTAAAATATTAACATCAGCCCTTAAAACCTGATTTTAAATAATTAAAAAGTATTAAATTTTGGGTAAAAAAGAAAATACTTATTATACATTGAAAATATAAAATTATAATTTTTGTTTCAATAATAACTTGGTACTTTTAACGCTTAAAATTTATCATGTAAGTTAATGTTAACAGAGGCGATAATTTAGAGGAAATACAAATATTTTGCCTTTAAAAACTGAAGTTGATTTTATTTTTACCTGAGCAACAATAGTTATGTCAAGAGTGTTATTCCCAAAGGGCAAAAAGCTGCTGCTCTGAACTGTGAGATGATGCTTCTCTAATTCGGTGAGTATAGTAGCCACTCGTCCACTATGTTTGTTGCAGTGGATTCTGATGAGTACCTCTTTACAGGAAATTCTTGCTTCGATTTCGGGGAATGATTGGTCGGAGTTCTCATCGGAGGGGGAGCTACCATCGTCAGTGCAAACAAAAGATCTCTTCACAAAAACCGCTTTTTCAACTGTTTTATCAGCCACTCGTTCCTCCAGCGTATTTACTCGTTCCTGTAGTTGTTTCACGTATTTTATAGCATCCTCCAAAACTGTAGCCTTGTCCATCTGCATCCAAATATGCATGCATTATTCAACTTTGTAATAAAGAACTTTCACGTACATGAAACATGATAAAATTATATAGAATGTGAATGATCAATTGCACCCAGTGAAAGTGGAAGATTTGTGTTGGATGTGTTCAAGGTTTCAAATTAATCACAATTGTACTTACAGCTGCACTTTTAGAGTTTAGATGCGGGAATTTAATGTAGAAGTTAAATTTTGTGTTAGAATAATATAGGGGATGCTTTATGTATGAGATTTATTACAAGTAGTACCTTTTTGAGTCCAGGGACGATGGCCGAAAGAGCAATGAACCTCTGGCTGAGTTTTTCCCTTCGTTTTCTTTCGGCAATTACATGATCTTGAGCTTGGGTTGGGTTTCTAGTAGTTGCAGTTGCAGCCTTGTTCTCTTGTTTATCATAGTTTAGAAAACTTTTATTCTCATAGGCTGCAAAATCCAAGTTTTCACCGCACCCGGTTTCAATTTTAGGCTTCTTCACACTGGCATCCGTGTTGTAGAATTGTTGGGAAGCAACTGAAGATGCATTGGAGTGTTCAAAAGAGATGATTTTGGAAGACGAAGAGGAAGAAGGCTTGGGAGCTATCAAGTCACTGCCGTAAGCACTCCATGTAGTCACAGTCTTGTGGTGCTCGGTGGGTCTTGAAGGGGCAATAGATTGTTGAGGACTTTCAACGGGGAAAGAGCGCTTGTGAGAGGAATAGCTCTTTGGCGACGCGGAGAAGGACTCGAAGTCAAGATCATCAAGCTGGAATGCAAAAGAATCCATCGGGTATTGATGAAACAAAGTGGGCTCCTCCATTCCCTGTTAATTCATACAAAAGGATAATTAATTAAGTTGAGAGTTTTTTAGATTATGTTTTGCATTAGGTTTGCTTAAAAAAACTTATGGTTAATTGCTAGGTGTGCTATTGTGCTTACAAGTTCAGGCAAATACATGGTCGACGAAAGTTGAGTCATCTTTAGCTCGCTTTCTTGAATATATGGTATAGGACACAAAACCTGATCAGAAGAATTGGAGGAACCAAAACTCATTAATTTCCAAAATTGGGGAAAGAACCATAAACTAGTGAAGTGAGTTATTCGCTCCAATTGTATTATTTCGGTAGATTCAGCTAATTATTTCAAGGAATGTCGTTTATTGTTTGCTCTAGAAACGAGATTATGAACCCAAAAAATGAGCTAAGTTGAATCCGTGAACAAAATCTCGTATTATCAAAATTAAGGGGTAAGAAAAATCTTAATAACTGGTTGAGGATGGAGAAATGGGGTAGGAGAAGACAATGACGTGTTTGGGAGATCACAAACCGGAACACATATAGGGAAAGGAGACATAGAAGGTACCTTGATTGAAGAGTGCAAGAAGACCAAGGAGATGAAGTGTTGTTGTTTTCAGAAGAATGGGAACAAGTTACAATAGAACAAATTTGCGAGGGTGTTTTATAAAGGGGCATCGTCCATATACACGCTTCATACCCGCTTCTATACAAACACGTGTGAATATGTTTTCCCATTTTCTAGGGTTAGTTCATACTGTTTGAAAGTGGGCGCTCTCGCTGTCTTCACTAATATAATAGCTAACCTTTTGGTCAAATTGTGGGTTCTTGTTCCTTTGTTGGATCAGGTTCATGCTGTTTGCGACGTCAATAAATCGTTCACTGCCAACTCAATAAATAACGCCAAAAGACTTGATTGAATCCCCCAATTGACGTGTGAAATTTTTTATACTTGGATTTATATTCCTATTGTTATCAAACGTGTCATTTAATTCAAAGAATTTAACTATGATATTAATTATTTTAAAGGTCAAATTCTTTCAATAATATGATTATACAAGTAAGAGTTACTCTTTTACAATTTAGTTCTCTGTCTTTTATGAATCATTCAAATAAAAAGCATAAAATAATTTGTAAGATTTTAAGATCAATTTTTTATATTTTTATTTATTATTTAATATTTTAAGTAATTAATATATTTTGAAAGAAAACATTATGTAAAGTATGGATTAATATATAAAATATGAATTAATAATTCTTTTTCATAAAAAATTGCAATTGAAACACTTAAAAGTCTATTTGATAAACATGATAGAATAGAGAATTGGATAAAGATAAAATATGATAAGGGAATGATAATTTTTTATCTTATTTTATATTTGATGTACATTACAATAGTATGATAACACTATATTATCTTTTTAATATTCAAGATAAACAAAAATAATAATAAAATAAGATATAAGTGATTTTGTTTGATTGCATGCTTAAAAATAATTAAAATACTTTATGTATATTTTTCTAGCCTTCAATTTTTTTTCACACACACATATATTCTGTATTAATGGATGTATAATTTTAATATACATTGATCACATACATGTTAAATTTTAATATAATTTTTTGGTACTCTTTAAATTATTAATGGAGCAATTTAGAGTTAAAAAAAATGTTGTAAAATATTTGTATACTCTCTCTAAAATTAAATAATTTAAAAATTAAAAAAAAAGAGAAAAAAAAAAAAGAAGAGACAGGAGAAAAAGAGAAAAAAATTATAGTCTTGAGAACAAATAAATATTATTTTTAGGTGAATTATGATTATTTTAGCTTACAAGTTGATCTATTTTTACCCATTTTTATTTTTTTTATTGCAGAAAATAGGTAAAGAGATTAAATGATACTTTTTGGAGTAATTTTTTTTAAAAAAAAAATTAGGCCATTTTAAAGCAATCTAAAACGAATACAACCGTACACAATTTAATATTTGAATTTTTATATCAAAGGTTAATTTATCTGATCTTATCTAATTATCTCTCGTTGGAGATATTTTTTATGTTAGCTCATAAGCAAATTTATAGCCTCAGGCCCCATTGATTATTAATCCCTTCCATGTGTATTTTTTTGTTTCGTTGCTTTTTTAATTATTATTTATCTTATTTTCTATTCCTAATTATTCTTATAAATTGTAATCCTATCAACACTTTGATTAATTCCAACCATAGATTTGTCAAAATATAAGTTACTTTCGACTTTATTTTAAAAAAGTTTTATCATTAAATTTGAGCTATAAATCATTTAAAAAAAAACTTATTGAATAGATGTTCAAATAAGTAGTTATCTAAGCACACCTCTTATGCTTATTGGAATAGTGTCTAAGTCTTGAGACAATACTAAAAGAGATGTATTGATTTAGAATTTTATAAGATTTTAAAAGATTTTTTTTAAGTAAAAAAGTTTGTTGGTATTTAATTAAAATTTTATGTTACTTAAAAACAATTAAGTGATATTCAATCTAAATTTTTAAGATTTTTGAAAGAGTCCATTAAAATCTATTGGTATTCATTTGAGACTTTTTACAACTTCAAAACAATCTATTTGTATTAAAAAATATAAAGATTTTAAAGAATTGTTGTATTAGAAGGATTTTAAAAGACTTTTTAGTAATATTTATAAATACCAAATTCATAAAACAATCCCATCTAAATTTATCAGATTTTGGAAAATTATTTAAAGTGACTTTTCAAGTGCTTTAAAAATTTTTAAGTATGTTTTTCATCTCTTTTTTTTTTTTCTATACTCCTGTCTTTTCTATTTTTTTCTTTACTAATAATATTGCACTACTACTTATATATAATATTGTATTACTATCCCTAATCCATTCCCCTATTTGGTGAAAACATAAATACTTGCTCTATTTTGCTCCTCAGACATATAACACAAAAAATACTTGAAATTTCAACTTTTAAGTAGTATTTTTTTTATAACACGCATTAAAAAAAGGGAAAGGTGAAAGTTAAAATTGATATCGTGATCTCTACATCTATAATTAACAGTAAATCTTCAAATAATTAAATAACACCTTTAACTGTTGAGTTTGAGATATTTATCTATATCATATAATATTTTTTTAATTAAATAAATAGATATTTAAATATCTAAAATATAGAAATAATAAGCCTTTTACGGGACTATTAACGAGATAATATTCCAACAATAGTGAGGGACTGAGATATAAGCAGTTATTGTAATCGTCATAAAAAGATATCACAAATTTATTAACTGTTTGTAATTTTAATTTGGAGTTCATGTACATTCTTAGTAGATGGAAAGGTTCAACTCATGATTCTAAGCTACTAAATGATGTCATAACAAGGAGGAATAGACTTAAAGTGGCTCAAGATAAGTATTTATTTTTTTTAATAATAATAATAATAATATTATTATTATTATTTAAATATTATTATTATTATATATATATTGCATATGTAATTATATTATTATTTAAATATTATTATTATTATATATATATATATATATATATATATATTGCATATGTAATTAGGTAAATATTTCTTAGTGGATTGTGAATTCCGTAACCGACACCAATTTTTAGCTTCATTTTAAGGTGTAAGATATCATATATAAAATTTTGCAGGTTAGGGTAATAATCCTGAAAATAAAAAAAAATTTGTTCAATTTTCATCATACGTCTTTAAGGAATGTGATCGAGAGAATATTTAGTAATTTTAAATCAAGGTTCACAATTTTTAAGTTAACACCTCCATTTTTATTAGACACAAGTAGAACTTGTGGTAACATGTACAACACTACATAACTTTCTTCGTAAAGAATATCATTATGATAAATTTTTAATGGACAAACTTTTATCTTCAACATTATCGGTTAATAAAGATTATAATTTTAATCCTATTATTCAAACTCAGGAGTAAAAGTAAAAAGACGCTAATGCTTGGAAGATTATTATAACTATGGATATATAAGTGAATGTTATTTAGGAGGATATAATATTACGGAGAATTATTATTATTATTTATCCAAATATTATTTTTTATTATTTTTGTCTTTGACTCTTTAAATTTGAATGTATGAAAAAAAAAAATTGAACTCTTTATATTAAAAATTCACAAAATTCTACAAAGACTCACAGAATTTATTAAAATCCCCACTTAAAAGTCTTGCAGAATCCATTAAAATCCTAATTTTAAAGTATCATAGAATTTTAAAATATCTTAAAAGTTATTAAAATCCTTCAAATTCTTTTAAAATTTGTAGGACTTTTTTCAACTAAAAAAATCCTTTAAAATCCTATCCAATACATTTTCTTAAAAATTTTAAACACTTCTTGTATTATTTCAAAAGGTATATTTGTCCAAAAAATAAAACTAACAACAAACTGTGATCTTATTTTTAAAAGAAGTGAATAATTTTCACCCTTTCTTCTCAAATAGGCTTCTACTCCATTGCACTACCTTAAACAATAGTGGCATGCTGTGGTTCACAAGCTTGAACAATAGAAAGCGTAAATGCTCACCTAATTTAGCACCTATGCACTGAAATTTTTTGCAAATAGGCGATAATTTTTGCTGTGAGTATGTATAGAATGTTAAACAATGTTGTCAGAGGATTTATTAATGAATTACAAATAAAACTATTTAATTAAAAATACATGTATTTTAATATAATTTTAATAAAAAAAATTATTTATTTATTCTTTAATCAGTATTCTTAAGACACTGATTAACAATACTCACTGTTAAATGAATAAATATAAATGTTTACTAGATTGTAAGTTAATTTAGGTGCGAGGTTGTAAACAATCTTGAAAATTTAGAACTAAATAGATTGTCCTAGATCAATTTTCATGTTTGGTTAAACCCAAGTATATTTTGTGCAAGATATCACTGCACAATTATATATGCAAAACTAAAACAAAATAAATAACAAATCGAAAATTGTGCACTTAGAATTATAGAAGCGATAAATAGCAATATGAGAGTTGCATATACCTGTAGGATAGCTTCTAGTTGTAAACTCGTATTTAATTTCTCACTCTTTACGTAGTTTTTATAACCAAAAGCAAGAGTTGTACATAAAATATAAGGTGAAACAATTTAACTTAGTTCATATTTAAAAATTATATTATTTTACCATCGTAAGAGCGATAGAGATGGGCTATATGAATTATGATATTCAAGATTAAGGCCTTGGTATATAATATACATTTATATATATAATGCC